AAATGTTTATATTTCATATAATTTTCTTATTATAAAAATAAATAAAAGTGTAATTTAAGTGATTCGTTCATTATTACCTTCATATTTGAATAAATCTGGCAAGTTTTTTATGACAGCCACCATTTAAATGTTTATATTTCATATAATCTTCTTATTATAAAAATAAATAAAAGTGTATATTAAGTGATTCATTCATTATTACCTTCATATTAGGCTAATGAAGCCTAGTAGGCTACAACTAGACTCCCATAGTTTACAGCATTAGTTAAGAGATTTGATTCCCTTGAGAAAAAATGCCATTTATTGTAACTGATATCCAAAATAATCGATATTGAATCGAATCGAAATCGAATCGAATTGCAAGCTTGTGAATCGAAATCGAATCGAATTGTGAAATTTGTCTCAATACCCAGCCCTAATAGCTAATCTGCAGACCTTTTGGTAACGCTTCCTTTTACAATACAGTACTTACGTGTACTTTGTGTACTTAGAAAGTACTGGCTAATATAAGGTAAGTACATGGGTTAGGGGTAATACCTAGTTATTATCCAGTAATTGTAATTACTATAAGTACATAGTAAGTACATGGGTAACACAGGACTGTAAAAGGAAGCGTTACCGACTTTTTTTAACCAACCACATGTGGGTGATTTAAACGTTAAAACATGTTAAATGAATGTTAAAGGATGTTTTTTTTGACAGTTGCACCTCTTCCAAACGTCCACCTGAGCTTCATCTAATAGATGCTTTCTTTCACACACTAATCGTATTCTTCAGGAGAATCTATGCTGACTGCGCTGAACTTCCTTCGGTGGTTCTGTCCACTCAGCCGTTTCCCTGATCCCCGAGTTATACGTGCGGCTCATACTCAACTCCCTCGTTTTATCCCATCTTATCTCATCAGAAACAGGAGAAAGTCACATTGAAAGTTGATTTAAATACAGCTGGAGCTTTGGATCAGAGCGGTCGAGTGACGTGTGTGCACAGACTGGAACTGAAACTGAGAATTTGGTGTTTGTTGTAACATACAGTACAGCGATGCACCATTTATGAGAAATCAAAGCATCAAAAAGAAGCGAGGGATGACACATGGTAAGAAACATGAAGCATTTGACATCCCTGCTGGAGGTACTAATGCTTAACTAAACAATTCTCCACTCGAGGTAAGGCAACACTGAGCAAATAATACGCTACAAAAGTTCAATAATTATGTTAATTAAAGGATTAGTTCACTTTTGAAAAAACTTTTGCTGATAATTTACTCACCCCCATGTCATCCAAGATGTCCATGTCTTTCTTTCCTCAGTCGAAAAGAAATTTAGGTTTTTGATGAAAACATTCCAGGATTTTTCTCCATATAATGGACTTCAATGGGAACCGGATGGTTCAAGGTCCAAAAGACAGTTAATAACAGTTTCAGATGCAGCTTCAAATGTCTTTAAACGACACCAGACGATGAATAAGGGTCTTATCATGCGAAACGATCGGATATTTCAAAACTTACTCCAAAAATGTGTAACTTTTCTAAGGACAAATGCTAGCCTTGCTCTATTCTGTGAGGCGTGTTTGCAACGTCACGTATTACGTAATTACGTTCAAAAGGTCACGGGCGACGTAGCCGAAAGTACAGAGTCAGTGTTTACAAGTTGAACGCATAGGTTGAACGTGCAAGCTAGCTCAAACACCGTTTACAAAAAAAGGAATTAAAAGGAAAAACAACGATGTCGGACGATTTTGATTCTGTACTTCCGGCTACGTCGCCCGTGACCTTTTGAACGTAATTACGTAATACGTGACGTTGCAAACACGCCTCACAGAATAGAGCAAGGCTAGCATTTGTCCTTAGAAAAGTTACATTTTTGGAATAAGTTTTGAAATATCCGATCGTTTCGCATGATAAGACCCTTATTCATCGTCTGGTGTCGTTTAAAGACATTTGAAGCTGCATCTGAAACAGTGATTAACCGTCTTTTGGACCTTGAACCATCCGGTTCCCATTGAAGTCCATTATATGGAGAAAAATCCTGGAATGTTTTCATCAAAAACCTAAATTTCTTTTCGACTGAGGAAAGAAAGACATGGACATCTTGGATGACATGGGGGTGAGTAAATTATCAGCAAAAGTTTTTTCAAAAGTGAACTAATCCTTTAAGTATTTTTGGATCTGTCTCACTGGAAAGATGTATATAATGCCTTAAAAGTAGACAGCGATTAAATAGGAGACAGGAGAGCAAAATAAGAAAAGACCAAATGAGAGTTTCATTGTCTTAAACTGTGCTCAGATTTGTCGAGATATCAAAATAAATAGATATTTGCATTCAAATAGAAGAGATCTCAGTATGAACATTTATCATCAAGAGCAAGTGATCTGATATACTACATTCATTTATAGCTTTATATTCTTTTAGTGTGATAACAATGTCTCTATTTGTCTATTTCTATTTTTTATTTGTAATTTAGGTGAACCATCTTAATAATTATTACCTAAATGAAACAATAAAGAACTCTATTCAAATTGTATTATAATATTTTTTTCCCCCTGAAATCCCCTTTTTAATGTCAACTACAGTTTAAAAGTTTGGGGCCAGTAAGACTTTCTCAAAGAAATTATACTTTTATTCTGCAAATATGCATTAAAATGTTCAAAAGTGACATTATGATGCTTTATAATGCTTTATCCGTTTCAAATAAATGCTGTTCTTTTGAACTTTCTATTCATGAAAAAAAATAATAAATAAATAACGGTTTCAACAAAAATATTAAGCAGCTACTAAGCAAACTGTTTTCAACATTGATGATAATAAAAAATGTTCATGTCAGATTGATTTCTGAAGGATCACGTAACAAATTTAGCTTTGCATCACAGGAATAAATTATATTTATAAAATATATTTAAATAGAAAATAGATATTTAAAATGGTAATAATATTTCACAATATTGCTGTTTTTACTGTGGTTTTGATCAAATAAATGCACACTTTCGAACGGTAGTGTCAGATGGGTGGTTAAATGTTACAAATTTGGGGTTTAAGACTTTGGGTTTAAGTTAGTATGTTTCCATAGAACAAAAAAATAATATCAAAAGATTAAGGAAAAGTTAATACTTTTGCCCCAGTTTCACAGACGAGGCTTAAGTTGTTTTAACTGAAAGCAACTTGCACTAAATATCTTCAAATATGTCAGTGCCATTGTTTGGTCTCAAGATTTTCTTTATAAAAGCTTCCTAAATGTCTTTATTGAACTAAGGCCTAATCCTGGCTTAATCTAAACCCTGTCTGTGAAACCGGGGCTAAGTGTCCTGAGCTTAGAAAAAGCTCAACATCTGATCAGTAAAACATTCCTACAGTCCAGCGTTTCGCATCAGGATGCTCTTCCTCAAGTGGATCAAATCTGTGATCTGTAAGTGCTGACCTACTGAATATAATACGGCAGTCCTGTAAAGCATTCAGACAGGCAGAGCAAACAAGCAAAGACACATTCCAGCGTGGACATAGGACAGACACGCAAACACGGACAGGAGATGTTCACAGAGAAAAAGAACAAGAAGACAGACCTGGTCTGGGAATATCCTGGGTTTCTGCTCAGGCACCACCCCTACCCTCAGCTCGTCTTCCACGGCCATGAGTCTTCATGGGAAACGAGAAAGAAAGAGTGAAACAATATTAGTTCCAAAGCACACAGACATCAACAATAAGTGTTCATCTGCCGCAAACATCAGATCGACATGCTTTGATTGTGATATAAATAGCGTTTGAAATGGCTTTTGGTCCAATCTGGGAAGCATACTGAAGAAAAAGAATCAACCATATTATGTCATGATGACATATTTCCATCATCCCATGGGAATAAGTGAGATGATGAATGAAAACGGGCCACGTTGTATGGCTTTTAACGACGGCTGCCGCTCTTACTGGCAGCTTATTTCAGACCATTGAAGTGGCCGCCAGCGCATCAAAGTGACGTTCGGTTTCATACACAAAAACGGATGTTTTCATATCTCCACGTGAACATATCACACCACATGCTGTTTTTAGGCACAAGTGGGAGCCAAACGAAGCACTGTGATTATCAAGTGAATGACGGCTTTATAAGGAATGATGTTTTTGGTTTGATTTATGTTGACAAGACGACACGAGTACATGACAGCGATATTAAATGTGTGCATCTGGGTCAAATATGAAAAGTTTCATTGGATGGGTATCATTGAGCCAGTTTAGGGGACAGATTTGATATTGTTTTGATGTAGAATGATATGAAATAGTCATTAAAGATACATTAATTCATTGCAGAAAAAGGCCTGTTCACAACAAGGATGATAACTATAAAGATAGTTGTAAATCTAGATATAACGATATAACGGCATAGATAAAAAATATCATTGGAATCACTTTCATAAAGATTTTTTTTTTTTTAGCTGATGAACGATAAAGACATTGACAACCAATCAGAATCCATCCTGCTAAAAGAACTCTTATAATAAACAGAATGATATCGTGCATTAGTGTGGACGGTAATATTGGTATAGTTATCATTCTTAGTGTGAACGGGCCTTAACTTATTCTAGTCTTTAGCATTTATTGGAAATAAATAATGAATTCCACAGTTTAGGTTTAAAACAATATGATTGGATATTTTATTACATTTATTATATTGCTTGTACAAAAATTCAAATGCAAAAGTAAAAACAACAACAAAACAAATTTAGTGCTTCGAAATTTCTTAAACAGACAGAAGCATCCAATTTATTAAAGATATGCTGAGGCCTGTTTTATATTCAACAATGCGATTATTTATTAACAAAGATCAGACAAAAGGTCATGGGGTCAGACACAGTTCACAAGCAGAGGTCAGAAGGGTCACGATTAATACACCTTCATTGTGCTATTTCTCATCGCTACTGTTATCAAGGTATTGCACACAGTTTGGCTACAATATTTAAATAAATATCATCTCGTATACAGAATATATAATTCTATGCTCTATATTTCTGCTTTTAAAAGAATTTATAGGGAAGCAATGTCTTCTAACAGTATTCGATTATTTAATACACTCATTTTTATACAATTTGAATATATGAAAGTCTAACAATGGAAAACAAAAAAGGCGTATTTCAGTGCAAACGTTCAAAATGATTATTTATATCAACATCACATTACAAAAGATATTTTCTAAAAAATTAATATCAATCCTACATTAATCATCTATTTATGTTTCCTGATCTATAATTAATATCTCTATGTTTATTTCACAAACAGCACCACACAAAATAAGATATTCATAAGCATGACAACTCACTTACCTCATGTTTAATATTTTATACTGTATCTTCTTGCCAGTTTATATTGAACATAACACCAAAACACACTCACCAAACTGTGTTAATATTTATCTATGAGGGTGAAAACAAGTCCAGGACAAAATTCACTATGAAATCAAAAGAAAAAAAAAAAGATTCTAATTTGCATAAAGAGAATTAAACTAAAAGTAGCAGTGCAATAAATACCATGATATACAAATACTTATATAAAAATAAATTACACGTGTGGATCGTGTTAATTGTTGCACTGCCTTAAATGAACATTTTTCTATTGATTATAGACCGAAATATGACCTGGAACATGGGTTTTGTGAGAATTAAGTCATGAGTTTGAATATTAGGAATCATATATGAGGCTTGTGTTTGAACATAAGCAAACACGAGCCTCTTTCTGAAGCTTGGAAATATCTGCTTTTATTGCATATTTCAAAATGAATGATCTAAACACAGAACAACCGAAATCCAAATGTGATGAGGAATGGTTGACACATGAGATCGCTGTTCTCGTGATAGCACATAGAGATATGGAAAACGTGGACATCTGAAATATGATCTATTTTGACGAGTAAGACACTTTCATCACACAGTGTGTTATAGAGAGAACATGTGCAGGTCGATCAGGAAGCGATTCTGTGTGTTTTCAAGATGTTTTGCCGTTTTTACACTCATTAAAGGATCAAATCGTCCTAATGAGTGAAAATTTCATCGTCATTTATTTACACACCCTCATCTCGCTCTTAAACCCGTATGACTGTCTTTTTTTCTGTTGAACACATGGTTACTTGGTGCTTTTATGGTGTTTTTGTCCTGTGTGAAAGATGTGTGAAGATTAAAATCTCCTTTTGTGTTCCATTGAAAAGTTAACAACAGTATACAGGTTTGCAACGACATGATGGATGAATAAATAAGCAGAGAATTTCTATTAATGGATGAATGATCCTTGTAAGAGCTTTAAAAAGCGGCATTTTTAAGTTCTTTAAACATTAGAAATTCATAAAGCAATTTCTTTCATCTTAAGCACATTTTATGACATTTTCTCCATGTCAAACTTGTTTCCTCAGACGGCAGTGCAAATACATTAACAATACTGCACACATATGACTGCCTCCATTACAAACACATCCTGTTATGATGATCAGTTATGATTATGAAGACTAATACACGCCAAGGAAGAGATGATGATTTATATTTGTATGCCCTTTTGGTCTCCCTTCACCATCTGAGTGTCTTCACTCCATGTCTTCATTCCTAGAATTGGATTGAAACAGCAATATACTCTGTGACAAAAAATACGCAGTAAATGCTGCATTACAGGAAATTACATCATCATTGCATCAACCAATGGGAGGGGTGATGTCTTTTCTAAGAGTGAAGCAAAATATTGGCTGATGTGTCTCTGTGGATTCACAAAGCCGCTAAGAATCCAAATAAAAGATGAAATGAAACAACAGGGAGGAAATGAACCCAGTTCGGCAATTAAAAAACAGCTTTGTGATGGCAATTACAAGACCAAGTCCAAGAGTAAAGATGTGGTTAAACTACTATACTGTATATAAATGGCAGATGCTCTATAAAGGAAACCCCTTATAAAATGTATAACACATCTATCCAGTGACCCTAAAAAGTATGTGGACACATGCATCATCCATGTCAAACAAAATATCAAAGAATGATTCTGCAAACAAGTGCCTTCAAAAACACTTTCTTTTATGGATTACACTCCCATTCAAAGGTGTAGGGACAGTTATTAACAAATGTCACTAGATTTGACGTTTTGATAGTTTGATATTTTCCAATGCAATGACATTCAGACATTTTTAAGTTTGGCTTAAATGTCCAAATTCTTTTTGGGCCCACTATTTCTATACAGAATTACATAAGGAGTCATTATCAGTTGAGCTTAGAAGGAAGCGTATAGTACACAGCGAGTGTGATCACGTTTCTCCCGCCTCTTTTTTTCATATTACCTGTCAATAATTCCTTTAATTTGGTTGTCTTTCTCCATCTGCTGCTGTCTCAGTCTCCTCTCGCTGTCGTCCAGTCGGCTCTGATACTGCAGCAGGATTTTATTGGTCTGCTGCTCCTGAGTTAACAGCCTCCTCTCGTACTCCTCCAGCTTACGGTGTGACATCATCAGACGGTCCTTCAAAGAGTTGATCTCCTCCTCGTACTCGCGCACCTGGGACGGGACAAGAGATGAGGACAGTGGGCATGTTATCACAGCAGACGTCACCCTCATGATGGTTTTGGTGAGACAGTAAGGTAATTAGGTACTTAGTGGATACACAGTGGAGACACATCCCTTTGGTGTGAGAGACCCGGGTTCGAATCCACTGTGAGGCACCGATGTGTCCCTGAGCAAGACACTTAACCCCTAGTTGCTCCAGAGGCGTGCGACCTCTGACATATATAGCAATTGTAAGTCGCTTTGGATAAAAGCGTCAGCCAAATGAATAAATGTAATGTAAATATACAGTGATGTGAATAAGTTTGAACACCCATGCTTAAATATGATTTCCAAAAGATGATTTTTTTATTCCTCTTTTTAGGCAACTTTAGCATGGGTGTCTAAACTTATTCACATCACTATATATATATATATATATATATACATACACACACACACATACATATACACAAGTAAATAAAAAATTATAAAAAGCGTTAAAATTAAATAAAAGTATTAAAAATAAACTGAATAATTTATGAAAATAAAAATACAAGATATTGTCCATTATTATAATTATTATAATATAATTTTTTAATACTTAAACAATTAAATAAAATAAATGATGAAATTATTAAAAAAATATATATAATAAATAAGATATTATCCATTAAATGGCTTTAATAAAGTTTCAGAATATTATTAAAATATATATTTTTAATACTTAAACAATTAAATCAAATAAATAATGAAATTTTTAAAAAGTATATATAATAAACAAGATATTATCCATTAAATGGCTTTAATAAAATTGCAAAATATAATTTAAAAAAATGAAACAAATTAAAATATTAAATAAATGTAAAATTAAAATAAAAAATGTAATAATGAAACTATTAAAAATGAACTGAATAATGTAAATTATAATTAGAAAGATGTTATTCATTAAATTACTTTAATAAATATTATTAGATATGATATTTGTGGAAGTTATAAAATGAAAGTAAAGCCGGTTGTACAAGCTTGCAGGCATTTTTTTTCTTTGGGAGAGAAAAAACTCACTCACTATGAATATTGTTATAGGCCAGTGGCTTCAGTGTGTGCATACACACACACACACATGCACACACACATTTGTTGTTTTTGTTGAAAGGAATGGCTGTGCTGTACTTTGCTTTTCAGCAAATGATTTGCACACAAGTCTTTTTAAAGCAGCAGTATTGAAAGATCCAGTCTCGGTGGTAGTCCAGCTGACCCGTGTACCAGCTGCTTTGACACGATTATCAGGTTAACCGGCCTCCCGAGTGTCTGAACTCGCAGTTTACGCTCGTCTTAAGGTTATAAAGCTACGCCCAGTGTCCAGCGCTGGTGATTGACTAACTAAAAGTGGTGATGCTACAATAATTCTGGCATCATTTACTTACTCTCATGCTGTTTCAAATCCTTTCTTTCCTCTGTGGAAAAAAAGTCAATTTCTGAAGGATATCCAGGGCAGGATATTCTTCAAAATTGCATCTTTTGCACAAAGAAAGAAAGTCATGCAGGTTTAGAATGACATCCGGGTTAGTAAACAATGATTGCTTTTATAATTTTGTAGCTCAGCCATTTTCAAAACAGTGTGGTTTTTTCAGTAATGAGGAATTTTCAGATTTTGGCCCAAATTTTGCAACTTAGGCATGATTTTGCTCCCTACAGCTTTTCTGGAAGGAGTGTGTCATTTATGCATGAAAATGTTGCCTAGGTGGGCAGCTACAGTCAATGCAAATGAACAAATTCTCCATGCAAACCACTCGGGAATGAGAAAGTGCTGATTCATAACAGAATTTTATGGCAGATTTTGAAGATGAAACTGTCCTTTAATATGCACACTGAGAAGCAACGAAAAGAGGTTGTGTGTCACCTCCACACGAGCATCCAGACGGGGTGACAGAGGGTAAAGAACAGTCAGGACGTCCTGATTGAAAGCCCATGCTGCTCTCTCCTGTAGTCATTTCACAGCAAAAGGCTGTCCATTCTCATTTGATATTTAAATAACGCATAAATCAGGCACCATCTGTTGCCAAGGTGAAAGACATGATATGCATTTCCTTGACACTTGTGTGCTGACACAACTGCACTCAGACAACCGAGTGTCTTGGGAGAGTAGAGAGGAGGAATCAAGCTCGAGTTCGGACTCTAATTCAAAGCTCACAACATTCACATCACAACAGCCGTCTAGCATGGCAATATCGAAAATAAAATAAAATACACCCAAAGCACATAGTTAACATAGCTGGATGAGAAGCAGAGAAACACACCCTGTCCAGACGTGACTCGTCCATGCTCTTGGAATACTCCTTTAGCTTGAACTCTTCTCTGTCGATGCGGGAACTCTCTATGTCAGCAGAAAGATGGGGCATGTTGGACACCCAGGCGACGGTTCGCTCAGAGGCGGGGGACGTGGGGTTGAGAGTGGATGGAGATTGGGAAGAGCCCTGAGAAATAGACAAAGACATCCTGTAAGGAAGGAAACTTACACAGTTTGGGGTCAGTAAGATTTTGAATGTTGTTGTCTCTTATGCTCACCAAGGGTGCATTCATTTGATCAAAATTCAAAACAGTAATGCTATAAAATGTTATAATTTATTCCTGTGATGTTATAGTTGAATTTTCAGCATCATTACTCCAGTCTTCAGTGTCACATGATCATTCAGAAATCATTCTTATATGTGGATTTGCTGCTCAAGAAACATTTATTATAATTACAAATGTCGGAAAAAGTATTATCATTGTTGGAAATGTTGTGCTGCTTAACATTTATGTGAAAACCGTGATTTTTTTAAAGCAAACTTGATGTATAGAAGGTTTAAAAAACCCAGCTATACATTTTTTGTAACATTATAAAAGCATTTCCTCCCAATTTTGATCAATTTAATGCGTCCTTGCTGAAGAAAAGTATTAATTTATTTGAACAAAAATGTAATTATTAAGTATGCTGACTAATTCTATTATGCTATCTACAAACAATGAAAGTGTAATTCTTCCAGTTCTGTTGAACACATTTTAGCATGTTTAAATCCATTTCACAGAATTCTGCAGATTTTTCTTTAAAATCTACACAAATATGTGACATTTTTTAATATGTGATAAATATTCCTTAATATTGCTGAATTTTTTTAAATAATTTAAAAATTATTAAAGTTAAAAGTTATTAATTATTATTAAAAGTTATCTATTAAATAGCATTTAAATATTATTAATATCTCCAAAAATGCCCAAAAAATATCTTATATTTAAATTATCTTATAAAGATATTATATAATATAAAGATATTAAAATATCTTATAGATATTTTATATCTTATCTTATATTATAAATATCTTATATCTTATAGAGTGGTATTTTATATATTTTTTTATATAGTGAAATAAATATTTATTTGAAATAACCACATTTATAACTATGTTTTCCATTCATATGGATAAATTGTGGTGTGATAAATATTGCGGATTACTAAAAAAATATGTTAAAATTACAATTAAAATATTGCCAATCTGGTGGCATAAATGACTGGAATTGATATCTAAAAATAATTTTATCTAGATCCCACACAAAAATAAATATCTAGTTGAAGAAATACTAGACATGGATAACAGGCAGAGTAGGAATGTTTTCTGATCCGAACACCTGTTTGCTCATGGTAGGCTTGAGCAGATGCTGTTGCTGGACCTGCTGGCGTTCCTGATGTGATTTCGATTGCTGCGTGGACTGTGGCGTTCCTCCCTGAGAGCCCTGGGATCCCTGGCTCTCCCTGGTGGAGCTCTGCTGATGGGGCAGGCCCGGGGGGGTGCTGTCTTTGACGGACAGCTGCTGCCGGGGCCCCTGTTGCCGGCTCCCGAAGCCAGACTCCGGGGACTGGAGCAGGTTCCCGCTCTGTGGCCTGGTCTTTGCTGCAGGGGTGGCGGCAGCGGCAGAACTCACGGAAAGTTGATGCGAGGGTTGCGATTTCATGCGCTGTGTGGGAGGAGCCATGGAGCTTTGACGGACTGGCTGAACGGTGGAAGGAGGCGTGGCTAGTGATGAATGAGATGTGCCGGTCTGCGATGCCATGCCTGCCAACTGCTGCTGCTCCTGGTCATGAGACACATGCTTAAATAAACAACCTCTATTTCTGCCACTCATTTCTAAATCAATTTACTCAGAAATTTTGATGGTAAGCAATGGATAATATAACAATATTTTACAGATTTTAGAGACAAAAGATGCTAATGGATGTTTTTCAATGGGCATTTGTTTTTAACGGGCGGATTGGATCCACCTCACAATGAAAGTCTTGCTTTGATTCCCATAGACAAAAGAAGCACAATTTGTCAACATTCGTGGATAGTGAATGTAAACCATAGACTGTAAAAAAAGATGGACGCCCCTTCGCTCTCTTCCATTGGTCAGAAGTTAAGCCGCCTGTATATCCCGAAATGGCGCTGACATCTTGGAATTGAGTCTGCGCAAAAGCGATTTCGGGACAGGTGAACAGGAAGTAAAGCTGCGAAATCAAGGCCCCGCCCTCACTCTCGAAGAATCAATCGCAAGAACACGCTCCTGCACTTTTTAAAAAATGAATTATAGAAATTTAGATATTCAATTTAAAGCTCCAATCTCCTCAGTCCTCCGAAGATCCAGAAAAAAGTCGTTCAGAGAAAAGTTCGCTCACACCAAATGACGTCACACCAACGCATCAAATAACAAACTAAAAGTGAACTTATTTTAAAAACAAACACTTGAAATTATATCAGCGTGATAAAAACTACAGTAAATGACAGAAACCATATTTGGAAAAACGATATTTAAAGTGTAATTTAATGGTTTAGTTGGTCTCACGTGCTGTCGAATAACATATGGAGGCGGGGTTTGCGACCTATACTAGGACCGGTGTTCTGTCGATTTTTGCTGCCTTGTCGAAAAATGCTACCGTTGCGCGAATTGATCACAGAATGCCGATTAAAGTCGTATGAAATACAATTCTAATACAATTCTAAGTTATGAGTAGCTACTGTATACTGTAGACTACTGTTTTTATTTTTATTTTATTTAAAACGGTGTGAAAAGTAAAAATTATCATAAAATATTCATCTTTGACTTGTCAAAGTACACCTTTTCTTATAGTAACTGAAACTTTCAGTTATTCCTTTTCAGCTGGCTGACCGTACAAATATTCATATGGTAGTAAGCATTTTTTAAAGGGAAATTATACATTATAAAAGGAAAATGTACCTTTTGTAAAAAAAAAAAAAAGGAAATCTTGATGGGTAGCATGAATTGTCAGAACACCGGCCACCGGGGGGCGATCGAGATTGTTTTGGCTTGTGCGGCATGCTTGATGTAAACAAAGGTAATCAAAGTGCCTTGAAGTATTTTCTTCTAAGAACGAATACGTAACAATATTCCTTGTTTAAATAATTCCCGCCAAAGGCATAGGCAAAAAAAGAGGATGAGGCATGGTCAGGTTAGTTAGTAGTGTGTTCTGTGTTGAAACCATAGACTGTAAAAAATATGGACAAAGCGTCTGTGACATCACCCATAGACTCTCTGAAGAACGGGTTTGAGGCTGTTTATGGGGGGTATGGGCGGCGCCATACTGGAAAATCTTGGGAAATACAAAATACATAAGTTTCAGAAAGGATACAGAGGTGGTATGATGTGTTGTGTCAGATCATGGCCGAGACGTCAAATTCACTCGGCGCAACCCGTTATCAGCTGTCAATCAAAGTTAACCGCCCTTATTCGTCATACGTTTTATATCTAAATATGATCTAAACTAACGAGTTAAAAAAAAAATTCACCCCCCTCACAGTTGTCAGGCACGCGGAACATATTGAAGATCACAATAAAAGTCCATGGGACCAAACTGTAAACATATGAATTTATGCTGTGAAAACGGATATTTTAACATGACGTCTATGGATATTTGGGACCGCCCTCTAGCGGATTTGAGATGTATTGTAGTTTATCGCACTTCCGGGTAGGCTTCATCTTTCAGATTAGAATGTTGCCGCTTGGTTGAAACTCGCGGTTATGGTAAGGGACGAGGCATTTCCCAAACATGCTCAAAGTAGTTGACCAATCACAACACAGTAGCCTAGCTGACCAATCAGAGCATACTGCAGCACTTTTCAGAAGGAGGGGCTTCATAGAGACAGGAACTAACAGAACGTTACTGACAGACTTAGAATAGAGGAGCTGCAACAATGTCAAATATGTGAAAAATAATGTGTTTTTAGAACATTCAAGCATTAAAACCTATTCTAATAAACCCAAAAAACTAAAGGTCCCATTTTATATTAAGTGGCTTTAAGTAATATGTACTTACATTGAACAATAAGTACAATGTATTATTGTGTTCCTGTTGTATTGTAAAACACTTTTGCTGCTATTGAGGTGTGATACGGGTAAGGTTAGGGACAGGTGTGGTGGTATGGGTCAGTTTAAGGGTAGGTTAAGGTGTGAGGGGATGGTCAACTGTGTAATTACAAATGTAATTACATAAATTAATTATAGCTGTAATTACATGCTGGAATTTTAAAATATAAGTACAATGTAAAAACATGTATGTACACAATACGTCCATTGTATCAAATTATTAATTTCAATGTAAGTACATTAATATAAAGTGGGACCAAACTAAATAAAGGCATAATAGGTCCTTTTTAAGATTAAACTGATGGTCAAGAAAATACCTGCATGTGCATCGAGAGCTGGCGTCCCCTGAAGTCACTCTGGTTATGGCGGGTGTAGTCGTCGCTGTAGCTGTGGGAGTGAATGATGCTCGGCTGACCCAGGTGAGGGCCGGGTCTGAGGGTGGACAGGTCTTCGCTTCGGGAGAAACCACCATGGGCGAACTGGGGGATGTACGCTGGGTGAGAGGCGTCCGGCTCAGGGGCCAGCAGGAGAGGAGGAGGAGGTTGGGCTCGACTGTGCTGGTGGTGAATCTGAGGCCCGTCAGCAGCGAGGTGGAACAGAGGGTTCTGGAAGGAGAGGGGGTAGCGGAGGGCGGCGGCTTGCTGCTGTTGCTGCTGGGACAGCGAGTCGGTGGTGGCTCCCATCTGGCTCAGCTGGCTCAACCTCAGACCCCCGGACATGCTGGAACCGCCGGACCCGGCCGACATACGCCCTCCGGCGCGCAGCTGACCTCCGAGGCCTCCTCCCAAGGCCGCGAGCCCACCGTAGCTGCCGAGGCCGGCAATCGAGGCCTGGGAAGAGTTGAGCATGTCCCCCATAGACTGCAGGTTAGAGACGCTGTTCATTCTTGAGTCCTGGAGGTCCATCATAGAAATGTTTTCATTAACACCTAGAACCTACGGGCGAGAGCGCTGCAGATGCCTGCCGGGCGCAGCAGTTGTGGGCGGTTTATGCATGTGGCTTGACTGTGTGTGTGTGTGAGTGATGGGTGTATTAACTTGAGGGTTAAAAGGAATAATTCACCCAAAAATGACATTTCTGTCATATGCGGTTATTTATTCAGTGGAATGTTAAAACATAATTTGTATGCAGCTCTTTTTCATACAGTTTGTCACATAAAATAAAACAACATTAAAAAACTAAATCGAAGTAGTCCTGGCACTAATGTCAAGAAAAACTGAACTGTTTAAATAATATACATATTATATTTAAATAATAGTAATAAATAAGCAACATTTGATTTTACAGGATAATAATTCATGTAACTGAATTCAAAATGGACAATGTTTCGTTGTTACATTAATGATTTTCTGAGAGATGGGATGATGTCAAGGAAAATGATGTTTAATATTAAAATATAATATTCCATAAAATATAATATTTAAATAAAATTGGTACATAATATAATATCCTATAATAATATATAATGAATACAATTATTTAATATAATAAAAAAACAATAAATAATTACAGTCTGCTTTTATGGGAGAAATTTTAATTTAACAAAATTTCTATTTATTTTTATATTTATTTATTGTGAGAATGACACATGCTATATTCTGAGGCTTATATTTTGAAGCCAAAGTACAGATGAAATGGACAACAAAAGTCAAGTGAGCTAAAAATGGTTTTGTGTGTCAGTCTGAGGCAAAACCTAACATGACAGGTGCCATTTGTGTCATATTTAATTTTTAAATTAATAATAAATAAAAAAATCTACGTGTTCATGAGACCTGAAATATAGTTCACAAACAATACGATTTAAAATGATTTTATAAAATATATTTATTTTTCATTCTGAAAACTGCACATGAAAAAAGTGCAGGATACAATAATCACAAAACTATTCATTTTTGGGTGAAATATACATTTCTGCACTGTATGTCAGGACCCTGAATCCTAAATGGTGATGGAAGATTAACGTAAAGAATCTCTTTATGTATTGACGGCACCCACATCATCTTGAAGCCCTCTTTTCCATGCTTGGGTGGTATTTGACCATGCAGTAAGCAGGTCAGTGGCGCTTCCTTCTCCGACAGGAACAAAGCGAACCCTCAGAAAAGCTGGTGAAACGTGTGCTAGGGAGTGAGCTGTTATTCAAATGAGAATTTGGACCAGACAGCACTGACCATTGTCATGAAAGAATTCTAAATGAAAGGGGATATTATTTAATCAGAACCCCCCACCCAATCAGAAACCACTGTCCTTTGGGACTTACCTTTGGGTCTGGATCCGTGATATCAGAACTGCTAGTACAGTACGCTGGACTAGAGCGGGCCAACGGGGGACGGGCAACATAGAAAACTTCTTTAGATGAGGCTCGGTGAGGATGATCGCGATCCACAAAACCCCCCATTCCAGCTCGGGACGGGGGGGCTCCGCCACTGGACATGGCAGAGGTTGGAGAGGGCAGGCGAGTGATGTCGATTGAACTGTATGACATACAAGAAAAAGAGTTCCCATGCTTTCGATGGTCAACATTAGACATCCTATAAGTCAACTACATGTCAAATAACTCTCATTAGAGTATATATGCAGACTGTTACGTCCGGGTTAGTAGAATAAGTTTACATGTAGTTGAAAAGTTTGTCATAGTCAGTATAATGTCTGGTTGGGGAGCATCACAATAAAGTGTTACCAAGCTCAGCTCCAAAACCTAGCAAGCCATATGATGTGGTATTTAATTGTAGTTCAATCAACTTTGATACTGTATTACATTTTGAACATTGATATATTATTATAGTGTTTGTTAATATTTTGAAGTAGATTTATTTTCTTTTTTCTGTTTTCACTTAAATTTTAATTGAAGCTTTGCTAATTTTGTCATTTTATTAGTTTGTCTGTATCATTTGTATTCCTTTTTATACATTTGTTTTAGTTGTTTTAGTACTTCAAGTTAAAGTAAATAAAAATGAGAAATGTTGGCAACTAGCTGAAATAAAATATTTGTAAGTCTTTATATTTATATATATATATATAAAGAAAATCCAAATGCAAAAATAGGGGAAATGAAAACTAAAAAAAAAAAAAATCTATAATAAAATACAATACATAAATAAATATTTATTTAATACTTGTAGGTGGCTTTGCATACCTGCAAATATGGTGATTCTCTTTTGAGGGACTCCTTTTTTAAATATTTTATATTAATTTTTAATATTTAATATTGTCAATACATTTTATTTAAAATGTTTTTTTGTACTTTTTTATGATTTTATGATTTTTTTATGATTTTATGTACAGCGCTTTGAGAAGTTGCTTTTAAAGGCGCTAAATAAAATAAAGTTTATTATTATTATTATTATTACTGTTTGAAAAATATAGTATATAAAATACAAGTGTTGTTTCCCTAAATTAAACCTTTGTCTTTCATACAGTTATTGTACTAAAACAAAAAACTATTAAAAAGTAGTAGTAATGTAAAATTGAATAAAAAAGAAAGCAGAAAGACAATTAAATCCTGTAAATGTTTTTTAAAGCACTCATTTGCATCTCCTCTCCGGTTTGTAAACCCCTGGCATAGAAGCCTAAAAATATTAGGCAGACTAACTAGGTTTTGGAAAATCCTCTCTTCTCCAAGGTGTTGCGATGTGACACAAATATGGGTCATGGGTGCATATAAAGACCCCAGACGCACCTGTTGAGGTCTCTCATCATGAGGTTCTGGAACTCGGACGAGATGGCCCTGTTGAAGCTGGGCCGGGAGAGCAGCCTATCTGTCTGTCTCTCTGGAGGCTGTCTGTCTGTCTGGTTACTGGGCTGTCTCTGGAGGTGCGGGTTACGGAGGGCCATGCTGATGTCATTAAGAAGGCGGGGCAATGGTCCGAGTTTGATGATGGCATCCTTTGGCACAATATAAACAGACAGAAAACAGGAGACCAACCTGATAACCGATCACAAACGCAAGTAGACAATCACAGTTATCTCCATCCTGATTATCAAACAGCATCTACCTTGCTTAGTTGTGCCATGACTTCCCACAGAAGACTGTGCAGGATCGAAAGCTCCCTTCCCAAGTCGATGTAGCCCTCAAAAGCAACGGCGTTGCTCACGGTATCGAGATTGGAGATCTCGTAGAGGAATTGCTGCATGGAGCCCCACTCCATCTCTAAAAACTCATTCATATAGCACATGTACTCCTCCTTACTGCCAAACCTGTAATACAGTGAGGAACTGGTAAGGATGCGGGCTGATATGGTTTGTAGGAACATAAAATGTTGCGCAATGATAAAGATGTTAATGCTCATCATCATCATTAGCTTAATGGCCAATGATCTTGGCTGACAGCCCTAACGTCAAAATGTAACCCATAAAACTGGAGCACTAAAGAGATTCCCATTACTATTGTGTCATAAACCCAAAGTCAAGAAGACTGTCCCGGATCAATTATATTAAATGCTGAAAAGGTCATTTTAAGCATCATAACATTATAAAGCACAGTGTGAAAAATGGACGTTAATTCTGAATATTTGCTAAATATTAGATTTTACAGTGTTATTAAAGAATTTGTGATATTAAAGATTAATTTCAAGTGAGCTTTAGATGGCACGAAGATAATCTAAATTTAAAAATTGGGAAAATGAGAATGCACAACTAAATATCAAATATGGAAAAAAAAAATTAATAAAATAAAATTACAATAGAAAATTATGATAACCAATATTGTCCCAATATATTAAGCATCAGAATAGATAAAATGAGAATGCACAACTAAATATCAAATATATAAAAAAATAAAATAAAATAATAATAAAAAAATGATTAGAATAGATAAAATGAGAATGTACAAATATCCAGTGTGGACAAAATAACAAAATAAAATAATGCCAGTTGATAACTAATATGGTCCCATTATATCATGTATCCCATAGCAGAATGATAAAAAATTGTACAATGTGACAAATTAAATTAAATATCGCTTGATAACCAAAATGGTCCCAATTCATCATCCATCTCCAATCAGAATGGTTTCCTTGCTTTACAGAACTCAGAGCACACCACAAAAATGGTGACATGGTAATAAAGTTAAAGACCTTAAAGAAAGTGTGTACTGACTTTGAGAAGTTTGCAAGGTTCTGCACAACTTTGGCTATGAGGGTGAGTGTGCGTGAGGTCTGTTCATCGGGGTATTCCTGTGTGAGATTGAATAAGGATGGCGACATGACGGCTGGACACAGGAAGCGCAGGAAGAGGGAACCACTGATAAGTCGATCTGCAATGTCCTCTCTTCCTCTCTCAGCGCATCGCACGCGCCAGGACGCAAAGACCTCCTTCAGTTCCCTTGGAAACGCACTGGGAAAAACAAACAATATATTTCCAGTATGATTAAAGCAGTTGGTTTGCTATCATCTTTTCACTGTCGACTCTTTTAAAATACATTAAAATATATAAGCCTGGAAATTCATTTGCATCATCATACAATTTTAACCATGCAATCTTTTTATGAAGATCTACTATCATAACTATTATTAAAAAGTTGTTTTGCCACTTAAACTGTTTTAAAGAGTCACAGCAGTAAAAAAATAACACCATTAAATGTATCATTTTTACTGTCTTGTGGTGTGGTGCACATTATTAAATATAATACATTTGAACCAATACTCTACCCATTAAAAAAAATGAGAATAATTTCACTTTCCATAGAAAAAAGCAGTAAGGGGCCGTTCAGACTGCATCTGTCCCAGCTGTTTTTTTTTTATTAGTAGTATTTTCTTCCTCTCTGTAATCGTGCTATAGCTAGTGATGTATTTGATTGCTGCAGTGCATATTGCTGTTTTTTAAAGGGATAGTTCACCCAAAAAGAAAATCAAGTCATAATTTACTCCCCCTGGTGTTGTTCTAATGCCAAATGCCCTTTTAAAAATTTTTCTTTAATTTAAATTTTTTTTTAAAAATTTTTAAAAAAATTCCTGCTTGTCCACATAATGTTATATGTCCATAATAAATTTTAAAGCAAAAGTATTGTTGGTCTTGAGACTCTATTAGCGCCGCAGTTCACTCCGACTCACCCAGAAATTCTGGCATCGTCAAAAAAGTGCAAACTGAGTTTGATCTTTTAATATCACTGTTTTAGTACATTATTAAGGCACTTTAAGGGTGGGTTGCACCAATGAGGTTTAAGCATCTCCGTCGGCTCACCATCTGCCCAATCTTGCTGATCAGCCCTTTAATTCAAATGGTCTTTCTACACAGCAGTTTTTAAACACAATTGACATTTTATAGGTGTATTTCTTAAATCAGCAAGAGCTATTGTCAGAGTGAGAGTTTCAGTTGGTCAATAAAAGAGGAAATGGAATTTAACATGGTTAAATTGGTGAATCCATCATGGCGGAGACATTTTTTATCGTAGATTAAGGTTTTAATCACAGGTTAGAATTGTAATCCCAGATTTCATGTTTAAAATTAAGTGGTGCAACACAACTCAATTTAAAATAAAACCCAGATCAACAAATCCTTGATTAGAGTTCAATCAATCCTTATTGGTGCAACCCACCCTGTGTTTTCACGTTAAACGTTTTAGTGATTGAAATACTTTAGCTGTAAATATATATGGATCACAAGTGCTTGTTCACGTATTTTTGTTTTTGAGATGGGTATGATGATAGACAGAAGCCAATGGGCAAATTGCCAGGATGCTGGGCCCTCCTACTCTTTTTTGAAGGACATCCTGGGATTTTTTTGTGATAACAGAGAGTCAGGAGCTTGGTTTAAAGTATCATCCGAAGGACATTGCTTATTACAGTATAGTATCCTCATCATTATACTAGGCCGTTATTTCCCCAGTGGTCCACAGTGGTCACCACCATTTTTTTGGTCAGTAAAAGAAGGAATGGCATTCTACATTAGTACAACACCAGGGTGAGTAAATGATGACTTGATTTTCATTTCAGGGTGAACTAACCCTTTAAGATGGCGTGCTCAAGACGGTGTGAACGGCCCATAAGACGACTGTCCTATGTCAGCTTTGCAACTAACCAATGAGAGTTGACGATTTTACAGAGTGCAAGCTCACAGCACATCCGGAGGTTGGCTTGATGTTCGGGCAGCACAGAAGGTGGAGTTCTCATTGGGTCGACTTCACAGTTCTCTTCTGACTCATACAGCGCTCGGATAAAATCACCTAAATTCAAATGAAACCCGTGAAATGAAAAATGTGTGCGTTCAGCAAAGGAAACAACGACAACCATCAAAACAATCTCAAAATTTGAGGAGCTCTCACCTAAAACGTCTTTGAGGTACTTATGTCCAATGAGTTTGAGGTACTCTTCTATGGCTTTGGTGGCCAGGGTGTTTTCTCTGAATATAAGGTGCTCTCGGTCGATAAATCGGTCCACCTCACACATTGCCATGTCTGAAAGAAAATCCTTGTGCAGAGCAAAAGAAGATACATCTGTAATCACTTTACAATTGCTTGCATATAAAAAATCAAGATAAAACTAAATAAGTGAATGATTGGGAGTGCCCTAGATTGGCAGCAAATCTGTGTGCCAGTGTTGCTATTGCTAACTAAAGCTAGTAAAAAAAAACAAAAAAACGTTTTTTTTTTGTTTTTTTTTAAATTTAAATAAAGCTAAAATAAAATGAATGAAAAGATGAAAAGTTGCCTTGGCATCAACTGAAATAAAAACCATTTAAGCTTAAGTACTAAAATTACTAAAACTAAAAGTGAAATAAAAGTAATATACATAAACGCTAAATATAGCTTAATGCATATTACAATGTCCCCTTATTATGTCGAAATAACGAGACATTTATGTTGTTATAACGAGATATTTAAGTCGTTAAAACTAGATATTTATGTTGTTAAAACGAGATATGTCGTTATAACAAGTCTCGTTATAACGACATAATATCTCGTTTTAACAACATAAATATCTCGTTTTAACGACTTAAATATCTTGTCTTTAAAATGAGATATTATGTCGTTAGAACTAGATATTATGTCATTAAAAAGAAAAAATATGTCGTTTTAACGTCATAAGATCTCGTTATTACGACATAATTGAGGGGAAAAATAATATGTATGTGGCAGCAATGCGTCACCATAATTAATAAATAATATAATAATATACAAATACTAGTGAAATCATATATGACTTTTCAGGATTCTAAGTTGCTATTGATGTTTCCAATCTCCAAAACTGTATTAAATACAAGATACACAAATATCAGGCAAAATAGTCAATTTTTAATAAGATGAAACCATTATTCAATCATTTTCAGTATTAAAATAAATATAAGCAGGTCCTGGATTTAAAAATGGTCTATTTAGTTAAATGGAGCTGAAGGCATTCAATTGGTATCTGAAAACAGTATATTTATAATCGACTGTAACTGAGCTTGACCCAACTGCATTTGTTACAGAGTATATAAGCTATTGTAACTTAAAATATGTCCAAAATCTCACCTAGACAAGAATTACGTCAGGAGCATGCATCTATCAAGTAATCCTGACTAGATTGGCAGCTCACAATGTTTTTGATGCATATATTATTGAAACTAAGTCCTACCTTGGCCTTCCCTGTGCTCTGCAGGATGTGCACCAGAGCACAGGCCACTTCCTCTTTGCTCTTGACGCTCAGCAGTGGCTCCAGAACCGCGCACAGCGTTCTGTAGTTGTTGGTGACATACTCTGCAAACTCTTTATACAGCTCCATTGGCAGGATGCTCATGGTCTGAAAGCGTGACTTGAGCCGCAGGGAGGCGTTGATGATTTTGCCCCCTCCCACGCCGCCACCCTTGGCCAGGACGCTGGGCTGAATGACGGGGTACCATTGCTCCACAAACTGACGACCAGTGATGCTGGAAATTGGGATGCTGACCAAGCCCAGGTATGTGCTCTTCTCCTGTTATGAGGAAGGAAATGGACAAAAAATAAAATAGTAGGACGTAGCCCTTCTATATAATTTAATACTTTTGGATAATATAAAATGTACATTTTATTATATATATTTGTTTTATCATACTATTTAACAAATCTGTTACTACAGTAGTTTACTTGCAACCAAGCACCTTTCATATATTTGATGTAGTGTGCTATTACAAATACACTAGCCTAGACGTCTAACGTATGAACAAAAAGCCACAAAACTCAAGTCTTTAAAGGGATACTCCACTTTTTTTGGGAAATAGGCTCATTTTACCACTCCCCCAGAGTTAAACAGTTGGGTTTTACCGTTTTCGAATCCATTCAGCCGATTTTCTGATATTTAGAAGAATATCAGTAACCAGACAGTTTCTGGTCTCATTGACTTCCATATTAGGAAAAAAAAATATACTATGGAAGTCAATGAGACCAGAAACTGTCTGGTTACTGATATACTTCTAAATATCAGAAAATCAACTGAATGGATTCGAAAACGGTAAAACTCAACAGGGGGAGTTGTAAAATGAGCCTATTTCCAAAAAAAGTGGAGTATCCCTTTAAGTATTCATTTGGATTTGAGTGTCGAGGTGGTCTTTTACCTTGCGTCTTTTTTTATCTGTCTCTTTGTAAAGATGAAGGCGGAGGCTGCGGACAGCTGGCAGGTTGTTGAACTCAAAGTGCTCACCCCAGAACACAGTATCGGTTCGGGGTTTGCTGGTGGTGCGGGCGTAAAGCATGTCATCCAAGCACAGTTCACAATAATAGCGCTTTTTGGGTGGGAGTTCACGGGCCTCGATGATCCACAGCTTCAGAACATTATCGACACGTCGACTGTTGTCCTGAGTGTGGGAAACACAGAATCAGATTTGCATCATACAGTATATAAACTACAGGTGACGGTGGTGAGAGGGTTTGCAGGACTTTAAATGTGCAGTCAAGCATGCGGACAGACAGGAGAGATTGCAAGTTTGAGGGTGGCAGTGCTTTAGAAAGGATAATGGTTTGAATTACTGTTAGTCTAACACATATTGCATGTCTAAAGTGCTGGAGTGGTCATAGGCAATGATGTTTCAGAGAAAGATGAGTCATTCAGACTCATCAAAATGGCCCTGGAACATTAGTTTTCTACTGGCATTTATAGTAATATACCCTTAAAAACAGATTTCAAAAGCTCTTTTATTAAAAAATACAGTGACGTTAATATGCTACAGTGATGGTCTCTCAGGTGGTGTATATATATTTATAGCATACCATGTAACTGAACGATTACCATATTCATATACAGTACCATGGTACTCCATGGTTCTTCAAAGATAGTTTTACACAGCCAAACTGGCAAAAAAGCAACCAATCCCAGTTCATTCTGTTTTTACACGCTGTTCATGAGAGGGTAAATCTGTAATCCATGACATTAGACAAATTGATTATGTGGAAATGCATCAAAATAATGTCAATTCAGTGTATCAAAAAATACAGTGGAAAAAAATGTGCGATCTGAATTTCTGCACATCCTGAAACAATACATTTCAAATATTAATTTTATTCTTATTATGCCAAGCACCGAAGGTGAAATCGTTGAAATCGATTATGGTTAAGCGCTTGTGGGAGAAGTTATGAAATTTGGCACACAGATAGAGGATAGTCTGACCTCTCACCATAGCAAATTTGGTGACTCGATCCCTCTAGCGCCACCAACTGTCCAAAATTTCACTCATGCTTTTGCTAATAACTTTTGAACCGTACGGGCTAGAAACAAAATCGCACCCGATGATGTCATTTTCGTCATGAAAATCTGTCCGCCATTTTAAATTCTCCGAGAACTCTACTTTTTCAAACTCCTCCTATGCCGTTGCTCTGATTATCACGAAAATTCACACAAAGGTAAAAACTGTGCAAAATCCCAGAAGTAAGTTGCATAACAATTGTGATTAGAGCTTTCCCGTTTTGATGGTCAGTGAACAGACTGTGACTCCATCTGTAAAAAGAAACTATGGAAAACGTAAAAAAAATGAATGGTATTCCCATGGTACCATATGTTCAAATTTTGTTTTTTGCCAGTGAGTGCTTCAATGGTTTGCTACAAACTACTCAGCTTTTTCTATCACTTGGGAAACTTCTTAAACTAATCAGCTAATAAACTACAGGAAACTAATGAACACCCTTGGTCTGTCCTCATTTATTGTAATATTGACAACGCATCTGTTGCAAGACTGAGCAGGCTGATCATTTTTGGACGCCTGTGTCATGTTCTTCACGATTCAGCCCAAAATCCCGCTGCCTGAACATCTGGACGAGTCAATCCACACAACAGACACAGCCAACATGAGAGATAATAGATGTCTGAAGAAGGAACATTCAGTATTCTGCATTGGCTTTGGGGATACATCTTAGCATACAGTACCAGATTGTTTCATTATGTGGCAGAACAGCACATGGAAGCAGTTTGAAGTTCATTTGATACTCCTAAAAACACCAGTAGAGGGTAAAATGAGTGTAAAGACGAAAATGACAGAAGAGGTTGTTACTGAAGGAGAATGGTGCAGTCATGAAAGAAGAGGAGAGAGAAATAGAGAAAATCTTCTTTACACTCACTTTGTTTGGTTTGACAGCTCTCTGTAGATTCTCTATCCATTTGTCTCTCTCCGCAGCCGACCGACAGGCAAAACACTTTGTTCCTGAAGCAGTTGTCACCTAAGGAAAGGAATAATGAGTTTCATTATTTCAACCATCAGTGTAATTAGAAATAAAAAAACAACAAAATTCCACAGGGCACTGGGGCTAATATAGTCACACATTAAATGCTTTAAAGTGAAATGTGTGATTTCTATGCCACTAGTGGCACCAAAGGAAAATGCAAAAAAAATCAGATAGACGTCATTATGTCTTATATACCATTCAGAACTGAATTGAGAATGTCTTTTAAATTCTATTTCAATTCCAGAGACTTAAAACAAATTTCAGGTAGCAAACAGGATGCAGAATTTTTGTTGGAACAATTCGACGATTAGAACGATAGATAGAACGATAGATAGATAGATAGATAGATAGATAGATAGATAGACAGATCTACAGATAGATAGACAGAACTACAGATAGATAGATAGACAGAGAACTACAGATAGATAGATAGACAGAAACAAAGATAGACAGACTGATCAACAGATAGATAGATAGATAGATAGATAGATAGACAGACAGACAGATAGATAGATAGATAGATAGATAGATAGATAGATAGATAGATAGATAGATAGATAGATAGATAGATAGATAGATAGATAGATAGATAGATAGATAGATGCAATTTTTTAATAAACATCTCGTCGATTTTCTAAGGAGCATGCAAGTTATGAGTCTGAAGTGAATAGTTTGCTATGGATCACCTCAAAACAGTACTCCTGTCCCAGTATACTGGAGTGAACAGGCTTGATGATCGCATCTTCATCAAGTGTCAAATCCAAGGCCTCGGCTGCGCTGCTGGGAGACAGCAAAGACTCATGGGAGTGCGATTCTTTGAAGCTCTGCATCAGACGAGTCCTGTGAGGGAGAAATAACAGCATGTCTGAGAGAGAAGAGACTCACAGGTTGCGCTTACATCACACGCCTACATGACGAGGTCAGTATTTCACTTGACATTACAGAAGTCATGTTTTTTTGGAAGTCCTTTCTTTGTGGTTTATGGACAACGACATCAGCCTCTATCATCAACAGTGAGGGTTTGAACACTTGAGGAGAATTTACTAAGAAGAATGAATAGTGTTGAACGCAATTTTGCACATCATGCTTTTCGAGAGCTGAAAGTGCACTCAATTACACTTTGTATCCATATATTTTTTTTTTTACTTTGATAAATAAAAAATGTACACAATCATCACTGATGGTTTCCACCTGCTTTCCTTAGTTGAACTTTCAAAGTTCAATGTTAAAAATAACAAATATTGTTTAACAATATAGTACTAAAATAATCTAAAATTAGACTGTTGGTGCTGAAAAGAAAAATCCTAAATTCTCAAAGTGGATTTAATTTTAGTCCATTTTGCACTTGGTTAAACTGGATTGTAGGTAATTAGCAAATAACATGAGCGAACGTGGTGCTTAGTGGATAGTTTCGTAAATTTGCCCCTTAAATATGATCTTAAAAGTAAAAAAAGTGAGAAGGTTTACATTCATACACATTTCTAATCAGTTTTAATCAGTACAAATATGAGCACATTTACAGTGCATAAAAAACTTAATATAATAATATAATAAACTTAAATTATCCTGTTTATAAATATACTGATTATTAATATTTTTTCACAAATCATGACACTTATAAAGCCGATATAAAATCATAATGATAGAAACAGCTTATACAAGACATAATAAAATAATAATAATAAAATGTTAAAAACCATCACTTTTTAATAAAATTCTGTTTCCATTTATTCACGTAGGTGGAAAGAGTTCAACGTTAAAAAATAAAAATAAAAAATATCATAAAAAAGTACTAAAATCATCTAAAATTAGCCTAATTTACAAAAAACAAACTTTTTTTTGTTTGTATAGATTGTATAGAAGATTGTTTCAGACACTGAATAAAAATAAAAAAGGTAACTGTGAGTTTTTATCCCGCAATTGCGAGTTAAAGTCAGAATTGTAAGATATAAACTTGCAATTCGAGAAAAAAAAAAAAGTCTTTTCCCCTTAAAACAGACTTTATATCTCGCGAGTAAAAACCAGCTTCCATAGACTTGTGGGTAATTAGCGAATAGGAGGAAAGTTTTTGCCCTGAAATAACATGAGCGAACGTGTCGTTAAGTGTATAGTTTCATGAATTTGAGAATTCTTTAAAGGGAAAAAGTCTTGCATACCTTTCTAATCAGTCTCAGCACAAACGCGGGCACAATTACACTGCATAACAACATACACCTTTACCCCACTGTACCTGCAAACGCCCACACACACTCACTTCACAGTTTAGAGCCACAAACCCTTAAAAGAGCTGAAGAGAAGATTGACAAGCTTATCGAGAAGTACAATTATATAAATATCAAGAGAAAAAGTGTGATAAATTGTTAGATCCCTACTAGTGATGTATCGCTTCTCCTGCGTCTTCAGAGAATCACTGTATATGTATACATACAGCCTCACAGCGTTACAGTGTGGGAGAGAGAGAGAGAGAGACAGAGCGAAAGAGATGGAAGGTATAAATATAGACCCAAAGGAGTGAGTCAGAATGAAAGAAATGATAGAGCGAGTGGAGGAGGAAGAGAGAGAGAGAGAGAGAGAGACATTGAGAGTAGTGAGACAGTGAGAGACTTCTCAGAGGAAATCAAATGTTACATAAACCATGGGAACTGAAAGGAATAAGACAAAGAAAGACAGATCGAATGAAGGACAGAGATCCAGCAGGAACAACAGGACAGAGATGAAAAACGACAAATCTGTCATCATTTACTCGTTGGAGATGTTAAGCGGAATGGCCAAGCAGCTTTTGTCCATACGACGAAGGTATATAGTGAGCAAGGGGCTGTCGAGCTTCAAAATAACATTAAAGCACCATAAACGTATTGTAAATGTAGTCATGATGCTTCACGCACTGTACATCATGTTTAGAGACTTGTAGCTCTCGATTCTCGCCAGGTTTGATGTCAATGATGTCAGACATCTAACAGTGACGGACTAGAGGAAACAGCCCAGGACCAGGAATATTACTGGTTATACTGTATTTTTGATCAACTAAATGCAGTCTTGTCTTCTAATAGCATTTTTGTGAATTATATTGGAATGACATCTCAAACTAATCAGCAGGGAGCATTTGTTTTATATGTTTGAACGTGTACGTTTAAAATGTACTGTACATTAAAAAAATGTTCACATAACATCCATCTTTCATTAGGTTTGGCTTTTGAGCGGGTGAGGAGGAAGCTAGATAAGCTAGATGAAAAAAAGGGGGATTATTCTTCTCGGAAAGCAATGTACTTAGTAACTGAGATGAACAATGACTTACATTTTAGTATCAAGTTTCAAGATATCATACAAGCCAATTTTAAGGAGCTTTATTGAGCCTGACAAGATAAATGAATTCGTTTGTATGGAAAAGAACTGCTATTTCCAAACACCCTCATTTTGAGGTTGGAACGACACGGGTGAGGAAATAATGACAGAATTTGGACAAAGTATGTCATTCACAACACTACACAACTCCACAAACAAGCTTTTGGGACACAGTCAGTCAAATCCAAAAGATAAGTGAGGTTTGTACACAAAATTCAAGAGCATTTTTGGTGGCATTAAGATTTGTGGATTTAAATCATCCTGACAACCAGTTCTATTTGAGATCACATCACAATTACATCCCAACACTAAACGGAGCAGAAGAAACGACGCCTTTCCACGAGATACCGTTTTCACAGCACTGAAATTCGGCACCGCACACTGTCACTCCAGCTGTTAGACGCATTTGTGCGTCACACGATTCCAGTTAAGGGCTGAATCAAACGATTTTATGAAAGCGGAGTTGTCTGCTTGAATTACTTAAAACGGCAGCACGGCCTTCATTTCAAAGAGACAGCACTGCGGAAACTTCCTCTTTGAAAAGGAAACGTCACTGGAGCGCTTCCCTGTCCAAACGGAGCAAGAACTTCAAAAAACACAACCTGGCCGTGAGTGAGCTTAGAGCTCGGAGCATGAATAAATGAATGAAAAAACCATTAAAAGAGCACCTTAGCACCTGTCTGGATGCTTGAAGAAGAAGAATAAGGAGCCAGAGGACGTTGCAGATATTAAGAGATATTAAACTGGAGTGCAAACCAGCGTTTAATGGAGCAGTTCATCCAAAAGTGATGATTCGCTGACCTCTATTTTATAACGATTATTTTCGTTCTTTTCTGAAACACAAAAGGACTCATGCACTATAAACGTATTCCTTAAATTTCAGGTCGGGAATTATAGTGCACCGGTCATTTGATTGATTTTTATGATGCTTTGATGCTGCATTTTTGGAGTTTAACAGTATAACTCACCACCAAACCATTGGAAAAGTGAGGAAAGAAAGAAAAGAATACAGGTGGTCATTTTTGAGTGAACTATACACTCTTAGAAGAAAAGGTTCTATATAGAACCTTAAAAGGTTCTATCAGCGCTACGTATTTGGAACCCCTAAAAGGTTCTATACACTACTAAAAAAGGGTTCCTCTGGGTTCTATATAGAACCCTGGTGTTCCATACTTGGTCAATAGAACCTTTCACCAAAAAAAAAATGGTTCTATATAGAACCATTTTGGAGTTCCATATATGAAGCGGGGGATGGAACCATTTCTGGTTCTAAATAGAACCATTTCTTCCAAGAGTGTACCTTTATGACTGTGCAATATTCATTCACTGGAATATCATGAGACAGCACTGTTTCAGCATGCGTTTATGGGAGGAAGAGTTTGGACAGTACCGGTCCTGGTCGGCGCTGCGGAAACGAGGGAGGATCATGTGGCGGAAGCTGCTGGTTCGGTCCAGTTTGGGCTGACTCTTGGCCCGTTTAATGGACCCCTTCAGTCTTCTACTGAGGAAACTCTGAGAAAAAGAACAGACTCAGAATTAATATGCATGACAACAAACATAAGGAATTGATCATTTGGATTGCATAGTCTGACACTTGAAAACTTAAACCTGTAAGGGCACTCATTTTTTTTAAAACTTATGAGGGATATAAAAAAAAAGTCTAAACATATAAAACACACAGTGTGCAGGCATTTATACTTTACATGTAAAAAAATGTATTACTTTAAAATACAAGTTTCATCTTTAACAAGCCTGTGTAGAAATGACAAAAAATGGAGTACAATATAATTTATTTTATAAAAATATTTTAATATTTTTAATAAATATATATATATAAATATATAAATATTTTAATAATAATATATATATATATAATTATTAAAATATTTTTTCTTATTTTAAATTATAAAATAAATGATATTGTACTCCATTTTTAAAAATATATTATTTATTACATGTATTTTTTTATTTAAAAATTTAATTGGATTAAAGTAAAAATGTTGCATATATCTTAAAAATTAAAAAAATATATTTTAACAATTATATATATATATATATATATATACATATATATATAATTATTAAAATATTTTTTCTTATTATAAATTATAAAATAAATGATATTGTACTCCATTTTTTTAATATATTATTTATTGCATGTATTGTTTTATTAAAACATCTAATTGGACTAAAGTAAAAATGTTGCATATATCTTAAAAAAAATATATACACACACACACACACACATATTTATATAGACAAAATAATTATTTATTATTTTTATTATTAATAAAAAATATAAAATTGAGCAGATGTAAAACACATGTTTTATATATTTTAAAACATTTGTTATTCTTATATTTATTATTATATTAAAAGGACAAAAATTGAGCTGTTTTTATATAAAATTAAACAATATTTTATTATTATGTTATAATATAAATGATTGTAACATTAATTAGATGAGCAGATGTAAAAATGTGGTGCAACTAACTGAAATGATATTCCCTTGCTCGTGGCAAAACACTCTGGCAATGTTGCACTATCCACAGTCAACCAATAGTGGGAAGTATTGCTTCATAAATATTTCCCGACGCCTACAGTAAGAACATACTGGCAACAGCAGGCAAGAGGTTTACGCCACAACAGAGTAAAATCAAGTCAAATCTCACTGTGTACGTAATGCATTCATAAGACGTGCAATCTTAGATAACCTGAAAACACAACTCATCAACAGAAGAATGTTTAGACACAGCAGATGAAGCTGTGAAAGCTCATTTGCTCAGTGATAATTACAGTGTGAGGCAGTGTATTGATATTCCTCAGACATTCTGTGTAGTGGTTTATTATGCACTACAAACCCTTAGTATTAAACTTGTGCAATTAATTCAGTCCAAACTGCTCCACCAACTTTTATTTGTGCTATCTACTTTTTAGTTTTTGTAAAGTTTATACTTAACAAAGAAAGCTCAAATTATATTTTGAAAACCTTCTATTTTGAAAGTGGCATTTCATTTACACAGATCTAAAGCCTAAAACCTGCATACCTGAAACTTTGCTTTTTAAATTAAAGATGCAGAAAGCCATTTCTGAGAAACCCTGTTGATATTTGAAATCAACCCAAACAAACACACCCCTCGCTTCACTGCTCTGCCCCCAAAATAACAAACACACAATGCAAGAGTGGATGTCTCTAGCTAAAGCAAAGCAAAAAAAAAAAAAAAATACAGTGAGGATGACGAACAAATGAGGAAAAACAAAAAATGAACACACAGTACACAAGAGTATATACAAGTTTGTTGTTCCTTTGTTGGCGCTATACTACGCACATGGCACCCGTTATCGTTAATATAACACGCGCTGTGAGGGCTAAGTTTAGGTGTGGGGTAGGGTCTGCGTGTCATATTCACGCTAAAGGATTTATGACGTGTTATATTAAAGGGTTAGTTCACCCAAAAATGAAAATTAAGTCATTAATTACTCACCCCCATGCTGTACCAACCCCGTAAGACCTTCGTTCATCTTCGGAACACAAATAAAGATATTTTTGATTGAATCTGAGAGCTGGATCACTCTTCCATAGACAGCCTGAGGGACTGCCTCTTGACGGCCCAGAAAGTCATTAAAAGAAAAGGTTTAAATATTCCATGTGCCTACAGTGGCTCAACTATAACTTTATCAAGCGACGAGACTACTTTTTGTGCGAAAAAAAAACGTAAATAACGACTTTATTCGACTTTCCATTACTTCCTTATGGGCGCATGCGCGAGAACTGAGACGAGACCGTTCTTCTTCGACTACTTTTTGTTACCGGCTGCTCACCGCTTAGGAGTTTTACCGCCCCCTATCGTATAAGATGACGTACTGATATAGCCGGAGGCGCAAAACGTTCTGTTTACAAGCAGTACGTCATCTTATACGGTAGGGGCGGTAAAACTCCTAAGCGGTTGACAGCCGGTAACAAAAAGTAGTCGAAGAAGAACGGTCTCGTCTCAGTTCTCGCGCATGCGCCCATAAGGAAGTAATGGAAAGTCGAATAAAGTCGTTATTTACGTTTTTTTTTCGCACAAAAAGTAGTCTCGTCGCTTGATAAAGTTATAGTTGAGACACTGTAGGCACATGGAATATTTAAACCTTTTCTTTTAATGACTTTCTGGGCCGTCAAGAGCCAGTCCCTCAGGCTGTCTATGGAAGAGTGATCCAGCCCTCAGATTCAATCAAAAATATCTTTATTTGTGTTCCGAAGATGAACGAAGGTCTTACGGGGTTGGTACAGCATGGGGGTGAGTAATTAATGACTTAATTTTCATTTTTGGGTGAACTAACCCTTTAACGATAAAGGATGCCATGTGCATAGTATAGCAAAGCCGTTTTTGCATATAGCGTTCTATATGACGTTAAAGGATGAGAACGGGCTGCAAAAGCGTATCTTGTCGGCTGTGAAACAGCAAAACCAATGTAACTCACGTATGGAGCAGAAACAACACAACCTTGGCCTCCATTTTCCAGTCTTCCCTCTTAGGTTTCTGATCTTGCCTGATCAAAGACCTTATTTTTCCAGTAATATTCTTATGACCTTTTCTCTTTTGTAATGTCTCTCAGCCATCTCTCTTTCTACACTCTTTTTTTAAATCTCCCTTTTGCTCACTATCTCTAGCCTGACTATGTCAGATTTCGTACTTCCGCTCTATTTCAATTCGCTTCTGTGCTCAGTCCGAGACATCAACAGCCGGCCAATCAACGAACAGAAGGCGGGCTTAGAGCCGTGACGTAGACGCTAAGCACCGAGTTTAAGATTGGAGGAAATCGAAAACGACCACGGATATGGAGACACGGGGGGCAATTCGCTCTGTTGTGGAGAATATTCCTGGCCGAACAAGAAGAGTGTTTGGTAAACATTTTGAAAGGAGGTGATGTCGTGGCCTTACTCCCGACAGGTTTTGGAAAAAGTTTAATTTATCAACTATTCCCGATCGCCAGCCAGAAACAGGAGAGGCCAAAGGCCGGTAAGGTGATAGATGTGATTGTGTAGGCAGCAAAACTCGGTCAGCCATGTTCAGCTCCGGTATTTCGCTCGATGGTTTGGTTTCGCATCATACATGTGTTTACTGTGGAAGTTTGATGCGGCTGAACTGGCGAATAACACACGTCATAACCAGTCATAGCATTCCAATGAAGTAAAACATTTATTTAAAAAAAAAACAAATTATCATCTTCTTCTTATTTTTGATTTTTTTTACTTTTTTCTTCTGTACCACTGCAACTACAGATTCTGTCAAAATGCAATACAACATTGTTACTCTTTGCTAGAAAGTAGTGAAAAGGTAGGGTTGACCTTCTGGTGTTGTTCGGTGAATTTATTTACACTTAATCAGAATGGTATGACAATTGGTGACTTTTGTGGCATTTGCTTTGTGAACACAAAAACAATCAAGGAAAAGTGACCAAAGAGCACCAGAGGGACAAAAATGTCAACACTACTTTGTCGAAAAGAGTAACGATGTAGTTTCAGTGGTACATCGTCATTTTTCTTTTTCAATTTGAAGTATTTGCCATGCTGCTCACATCCCTGCGCATTTGAATTGAACCAGGAAACTAAACACAAGTAATCCCTTTCAGCCTATTATTAAACACACAAAAACGCTTAATCGCAAAGAAATTGTTCTTTATATCTGATGAACTCAGACATAATGACTCAATCATTGGCTAAAGAACAGATCCTGCGTGACTAACTGTTTGTCTAACACTTCCAAAGCGCGCGCCGGCCGCTCGAACCCCCAGCGGAAGCGGTGTCAGAGACAGCTCAGCTGTGAGATAACGTACCTCAAGAGAGGGTTGTGCCGCCAAACTGGGTCCAGTCCCTGGATTAGGACCCGCAAGCTTCCACTCACCAGCAGCCCAGTGAGAGAGCGGCACTGAGGGAGGGAGAGTCAGAGAGACGGTCGGGGAGAGAGGGAGGGAGCGAGGGAGCGGAGGGGTGCTCACTCTCTTGTGTGAGGGAGACGGGGAGAGAGGGGCGAACGGGAGCGAGAGGGATAGGGAGGGAGAGAGGGATCTGGGACGGAACGGTGGGGTACTCACGGATTGTCGGAAGGGTTGTGGGGGGGCAGTGGGTGGGATCTCCATGCTTGGCTGCTTCCCGGTGGCGATGCTCTTCCGCCGGAGCCGAGCGTTTTCTGAAAGAGAGAGCGATAAAAGTGTCAGAACAAACCGAACTTTTTTTTTTCCCCCGTGAAATATATGTAATGTATTTTGTTCAATACTATGTATTTTGAGGGAATTAAGTGATAATTATGACCATTTAACCTATGACAATAATTAGGCTGATGTAACAAAAGGCTGTACATGAATACATCTACATAAATAGATTTTTAAGCTTCTGACTATGATTCTATCCAGTAAATCCAATAGGTTTGATATTCTGAGTTGATTTTAGAATACATTTTGATTTGTCATGCGTCTCCTAGCAAAGTGACACACGTTTCTGTGCGAGTTTGTTGTGTCCGGAACAACATGAAAGTCTGCTAGTGTGTGATCCTTAGTCTTTTAATGTATGATGCAAAGTTTTTCTCTTCAGACATTTACCCCCGAAAAAAAAGAAAGTAAAACAGCTGAAATGAAAATGAAATTTTTTTGTTTGCCAACTGCCTGCAATAAAAAAAAAAGTTTAATTAGAAATACTAAAATTACTGAAACTAAAACAAAAATAAATAAATAATGGTAAATATATATATATATATATATATATATATATATATATATATATGACAATAAAAGAAACAAGTTTCTTTTTAAAATGCATTAACATATTTTAGTTAAAACTCATAAATAAATACAAATAACTAATATTAGGGAAGTCTGTTAATGATTTGTTGCGCGTTTCTGTAATAAAAATAAAAAAATATCGACTGATATATATATATATCGGATTTTAAAACCAACAAATATTTGTATCGGTATCGACCTTCAAAATCCTTTATTGGTCGGGCTCTAATATATATATATATATATATATATATATATATATATATAAAACCAATCACCCAGTAATGAAAATTAATTTATTTGAGTTAAATTAAATTATAAATATAAATCAATAATATTTTTTTTCCCAAAAAAGAAAAGAAAGAAATCTTAAATCAAGCTAAAATAAATCATATTTTTGTCAAACATTCTCCAAAAGTTGTTTTATTTTATATATGGATGTTCGTCATGTTGACAGTATTTTCTTTATTCTTTCAAGGTGTATATTCAATAAATCATGTGTTATAAATATACCTATGAATAATTTTTTTTTACAAATGCATTGGTAATCAAAGATGCTCTATCTATATGCCAGTAGGTATCAGTATAAAATCTAAGACCACCTTCACATCACCAGTGAAATCAGCTATTCTTTACTTAAAAATGAAAAAATAATTACCAAATTCAAGTGAAAATTGGCTGTTACTTGCCAGTTTGCAACCTAATGCACATTAGATCACAATTTAGTCAGTGACATCGGTCTAGAATCGCTCAACTTAGTGAAAATTATTTATCATGGATCACAGCTACTTATAATGTTCATCACGTTAAACCACCAAAACAACAATTTGTGTGATAAAATCAATGTGGCTTTCTTTACATTGTTGTGCCAGGTTGCATTTCACTGAGAGACGGAGTCTGGCTCATCTCGTATATGATGCTGCGAGTGACACTATATGGCTCTGTCCCAAAACCAAGTGGACTGCCAATGTAGGCAGCATTCCCAAACCAAGGGCTGTTCCAAAAGGTAAGATACCTTCTTTTAGCTGTTGTGGTGAAGGCAATCCCATAATGCATTTCAACAAGACTAATTCCATTTAAAATGGTCCGAGCAAAAGAAATGTCAATAACTATAAACAATTTAATTACAACAATTTAATGCAATCCATTAAAGGATAATTATTTATTATGTACATGTGTACAGAATTGTTGTGCATTTTACTATTCCAAATCACTTACAGTAGAGTTTCAATTTAGAACAGAGCCATCGATCTGTGGCCAAGAAATATGCGAGGAAAATAGCTAAAAAGGATCTCAAGGATTGGCACTATATATTAGCTCAGCTACTGTGCATTTCTATAAGATCATTACAAATCACACTGTACGACATGGATCTAATAAATCAAAGATCTAATCTATAGACTAATCAAAGGCCGTGATGCAAGACAATATAGAAGAATAAAAAGTGATCAGCATGCGCTAGTTATAACCAAATAGCAAGATGAATCGCACTTTTGGTTTTTATGCTAGCTAAAAAAAGATTTGAAAGAAAATGGATGCAGTCATGGCTAGTGAAATGAGGCCAACTTGGCTGGAGTGCCAATTTTGTGAATGAAGCTTGAGGTAAGTAGTTTTAAGTATGTCACATTGACAGTGGTGGAATGTAACGAAGTACAAATACTTCGTTACTTTACTTAAGTACATTTTTCACGTATCTTTACTTTACTTAAGTAGAATAAATAGTGCATACTTTTTACTTTTACTTCGTTACATTTTGCAGCAATTATTATACTTTCTACTCCACTACATTTCTACAACTTCTGTTACATTTTCGTTACATTTTCTGATCAGTTTTTCCCCCGCCAAAACGTAATCTGACCGTCCGTTCGTTGCACGTTTGTCTCACCAGTGACGTTTGGTTGCCATAGATACAGTATATCAACCCGGTCACACTAAATGCGTCTCACACGCAGTGCGTTTATCATGCAACTCATACGCGAAAATTTGTTTTTACGTGCATAGGAAACACACCGTGTGTAATATATGTTTGGTTTGGTTATATGGCAAGCCAAGAGGTTCAGAATTACACCATAAATGAATCGCGTGTACTGCCAAACATAGTTATTAAACATATAGTAAGGATAAGCATGATATTGCCTAATTGCAAGCTTGTTTCAGAAATGGTGACATTTTTTCCCATCATTATTGAACATCATTATAGGAGTAGGCTATTAGGTTGAATGAGTTAGAATTAAATGTTTTATTAATCATTAGAAAATAGACATTAAGATAATACATTGTTATGCAAGTACTTTTACTTTTAATACTTAAAGTACATTTAAAATAAAGTACTTTTTACTTTTTACTTAAGTATGGTTGTCATTGTGTTACTTCTACTTTTACTAAAGTAAATATTTATCTGGGTATTTGTACTTTTACTTAAGTACTGAGATTCAGTACTTCCTCCACCACTGCACATTGATCAATACGCCATTTCATGTTTCATTTTTATAGGCTAGTCAGTAGACGTAGGTCGTAGCAGCAAACCAGTGTTGGGAAAGTTCACTTTCTACATGAACTAGTTCAAAGTTCAGTTCACACATTTTAAAAAGAACTAGTTCAGTTCATAGTTCATACTTCGAAAAATGAACTAGTTCATAGTTCTTTTTTTTCCATATGTTGCGAGCTTCTTTTTTAATTATTATTGCCACAGCCCATATACAAATATTTTATTGACGGGCAAAGTTTGCAAAGAAATGTCAGATTTTTCCCATCCTCACCGACCTAGTCATAAAACCCATTTAAATGATCATACGACGCCTCCTACTCGGCTAGTTGCTTTGTTGACGGCGGCCGCCGTGTGACACTGCTGGCTGGTGTTGCCAGATTGGGATTTTTTTCAGATTTTTTTGCTACATATTAAAGGTTCTCAAAGCGATCCTGGGTGTTGACGTTCGAATATTTTCAAACAAATCGGAGCTAGACCCTCCCTCCGCCGCATCTCATCTTCCGTGCTTCCTGAAATAATTGTGAACGTGCATAGTTCTAGCTAATTATATCCTTGTGTGGGTTTGGCGAACATAAGCGTCAATTTAGAAGAAAAAAAACAATTTAACGTTACCCACCTGTCAAGCAAAAACCGAGCAACCTGAATGTCGGACTGTAAGCCCTTCTGCCGCCGGAGTTCTCGCCATCGTTTCGCCAAAAGCTTTGCTACCGATGTAAATTCGGAACTTCGCACATTCTTTATCCGACTCCTTCTTTTTAATTTGTTCCTCAGAACGACGTCTATGTGTGGTCGTGTGTCGGTAATTTTTCAAACTTCCCTCTGATGCTTCGCTGCTCTCCTTCACACACACACACACCCTTCATGTGCACGCGCACTAACCCCCCAGACCCACCCTCAAATACTTCTTGGCAGTGATTGGCTGGAACACTGTTTGTTAGGTTTCGTGGTCCGGGTAAGACATGATTGTTTTTGTTGCCGTTTGTGGAGCCTGTGGTGTCTACAGAGACCGCGTTTTTTTACAGTGTGTTTAGGGTACAGGCAGCTAGCCGATAGTGAGGAGACGTTTGATGTATGTGACAAAAAATGTTTTGGCCCAGCATCGCTTATAGAACCTTTAAGGCCCGTTTAGGTGTGTTTTAGCCGGTTTTCGCCTGGAAGGCTCTATAGAAATCTGGCACCCTATTGTACGAAGTTCACAGACACCAGAATGAACGAGTTCACAGTAACGTTCATCAGGCAGTAATACAGTACGTTCAGTTCACGTTCGCCCAAAATATGAACACGTTCAGGCACAACACTGCAGCAAACACACTGTGAGATGATCATCCTAAATGTATGACTGTCAGAAAATTATCAGCTATCTTTGGTCGCAAGACTGTGACGACGGCCATCTTTGAATCTCTCGCACTGTACGACGTACGACCACCGTTTTGGAGCCATGACCACAGAATTCGCCACAGAAAAAGGAAAAGAACAAGCTCAATGTGTGTGTGTGCATTGAAGTCTGTCCCAATTCGAAGGCTCCTTCAAATGTGGTCTCGAAATGCGTCCCTTGTTTCATGGGTAAAGAAGGATAAAACTGATGGATCCTATTATTAGTATTTATTCATTCACTTGATCAAAATAATAGTAAAAACAGCAGAACTCTATTACAATTGAAACTTTTTTTTATTTGAACATATTTAAAAATGTAATGTATTCGAAATGTAAATCTGTCATAACATTATACACGTCTGTCACTTTTGAACAATTTTAATGCATCCTTGCTGAATAAAAGTGTTGATTTATTTCAAACAAAAATAAAGAGTATTATGTACAATACACGTTGTTTGGCCAGTAAATTTTCTCAATCCAATTGCTATTGGCAGACAGTGGTGGAATGTAACGAAGTAAAAATACTTCGTTACTTTACTTAAGTACATT